ACTCAGAGCAGCTTCTCGAAGAGCAGGGCAAATCGTTCTTCCCCAACTTAGCGTGCATGGCCCTCACGCGATCGCAAGCGCGGAAGCTATCGCGTCAGCTTGATCTGGTTCAATGCAGTGAACTCTCAAGTGACCTTGTCGGCGGGTCAACGGAACCCCAGAAAGGAAATTTTCCGCATGAGTCATGTGAGCGGTCACGCGAGCGGCCCGTCGCGGAAGCGGCCGGCGAGGTATGCGTAGGGGGAGACGACATGGCGCCATTGAGTCCGAGCGAGAGGGTTGCAACGCTCTCGCCTGTAGCGGAAAGTTGGAGCGAGCTGCCGAGAGTTGATCGAGAGACGCTCATTCGAGAGCAGCGTGAGGACCTCTCGATTGAAGCGCTAGTGGAAAGCCACAAAAACGCGGCACAAGTGCTGTAGAAGGAGCACTACGAGAAATCGGTGAAGAAGCGTGCTTTTGAAGTAGGGAGTCAGGTAATGCTGCTGCAGCCGTCCAGAAGGAACAAGCTTGATGTTGATTGGGAAGGGTCCGCCAAAGTATTATCGAAGCATTGCGATACAAATATGAAGTGAAATTAGGAAGGCGGCGGAACCAAATTTATCACAGTAACTTGAAAGCAGTCGTAAATTTACTTTTAAGTGCTTCAGAGGAAGAGGGAGCGGAAGTTTTGAGTACTAGTGAGGTAATCGAAGGGGGATCGAAAGTAATCTGGGAGCAGATAAACCTAGAGCCTAGGTTAAGTGAAGCCCGGAAGGAGGACCCGAGGAGGACCCGAGGAGGATTGTTTCCGAGTTTGGAGACATGTTTTCGGACCGCCCCGGAAACACGAGGGTGATCGAACACGATATCGAGCTAAGCGGTGAGGAGTCAATCCGTAGCAAGCCGTATCGTTGTTTTCCTGTGCAACGTCGCAAGTGTGAACCGCTCTTGGTACCGCATAGGTATCGTCGCCTAAAAGTAGCCGGTTACCGAGATGGAGCATGTTGCTCCACAGCGCAACTTTGACGTTCGCTATCAAAAAAAAGGAAAGCTAAACGCTAATGCAGGTGCATTAAGCAGTGCGTTCTAGCTAGTACCTTCTCAACCTTTCGGTTTCTCGCTGGCGATTCGGGGCAAAATTTTGACCTCATCACGACCTGGGCTGAGCGCTCTCGTTCACAGTGATCTCAAGGGGCCAACTTTATGTGGTATTCTAATTCGTTGCGTTGTTGTAAGTGTGAAAAATTCAAGTTCTTACTTTAAGAGTCTTGTGTCCCACATGTGCCTCTTGATGTAGAGGGAACAAAATTCCGATAGACACGTAGATTGGTATATGTTGTACTATACTTGTCTGGTGTTCTGTTGGGTGACCGAGGGCACTTGCTTGTGTCGTGTGTTGTCTGTTGTCGAACCGTTCTTAGCAAGTTGCAGAACCATCGACAAGTGCTGAAACCGAAGATGGTCAGAAGAGACGAGCGAAGTTGGCCAGCAAGTTGTGGCGACAAGCCAGTAGAGCTGGGATCCGTCGTCAAGAATGGGATGTGTTCCCGGAACAGAGTCTGGAGCTGCATTCTCCCCATGGCCCTGGAGGCGAACCTGGAGGGACCTGGCGAACGAGCGCGCCTGTAATCCGAGCCCCGTGGAAGCAGCTCGTCTTTTCGGCGCATTGTCTGGCGGCGGGGGTGCTGTTATGCCTGCGAGTCCACAGCGAACGGCCGTGCCTCTGAAGAAGGCAATCTGTGTCAAGGCCAGTCCGCCTGACGCGATCAACAACTCAACGGCGCCTCTCTGGCGTGCACGTGCAGTGAGTCAGCCTCGGCAAGCGACTCGTCGAGTAAACAACTGGCGTCTTCATGTCTGGGGGTCTGACGCATTGCGCGGCGACCCCATTAGAGGAGTCTGCCCTGACGACCAGCGGCGCTTCTGGTTGGACATTTTGGTTGGACCCGGTGCAAATAAAAGAAGCCCTGCGGCGCGTCGCGATCGGCGGTCCTAGGTAAAAGCTGACATGTGTGTCAGAGCGGACCCGTTTGAGAGCAGACCTATGTGTTAGAGAGGAGTGCTCGGCTCTTCGAGTCTCTGTCGGCCCCAGTGCCGAATTTGTAACGCCTCTGTATATATGCTGTACATAAACCTTGTTTAACTCACCGTCGTCTCGTCCGCTCGTCTTATCAGCTCTGCGCAGAAGCAGTCGCGAGCTGAGAAACATACGCTACCAAACGGCTGGTGACCTTCCCGGCGGAGTTGGAAGCAGTGGCGCCTTCGGGACCGTGTTGGCGTCGCCGTCTTTCACAACACCGTGCAACTACGGCATCCGAAACAACGATTGAGCTAAACATAAGGTTATTTGCGCATTGAACACTTACAAAAAGAGCTATAAATTTCTTTCTGCTAGTCAGACGCGTCACCTCACCGCCGTGAAGTGCTGGTTCACTCGCCAAAACGACGGCGAAAACAAGAGAACAAGCAACAGCTCCGCGCTCTACGAAAAAAGACCCCAGTCGACGCTACTGTTGCGTTGTGAATTGTCACAGACGTAAAGGGCTACAGTTATACTAATTTCCGCAGCTTTCGCGAAGCAGAACGGCGAAAGCGCTAGATATGGGCCGTTTGCAAAAGTGTTAGGTAAGCGAATTACGCGCGTTCTCCCCAGCCGTTCGAATGAGAACTGTGGTAATGTAGGTCTCCTGTTATTGTTTTGAGTTGCCTTGACGGAGAACCGTGGTAACTTTGATTATGAAGCTTTGCAGAGCCTCTGACCGCGGTGCACGCCGTGCAGCAGTAGACAGATGACGCGCGCTTTTAGATGCGGAGCATCTTATACTCGCGCCTTGTAGTGCGCCGTCCGCACCGCTTCTCGAACATTCGACAGCTGACGCGCGCGCATGCGCCGTCGCGCCGTCGCCCACTCTTCCACCATCTGTGCATCCCTTCCTCCTCTACACACCGCGCGCGCTTCACTCCTCCACCATCTGTGCACCCTTCCTCCTCTACACACCGCGTTCGACATCTACAATTCTCCTGATTCTCCAGTGGACGCGCATGTGGCGTCGCGCTTCGAGAACATTCAACAGCTGACAGTGCATGCGCCGTCGTGCTGTATATATACTCAAGGTCGGCGCTCGCTCGCTCAGTTGCCGCTCGTCGGTTGGTTTGTACGGCGCGTCGACGTCCAAGGTCGCGGTGAAATGAATTCTAACGAATCCACAAACACAATGATCGACGTCCCTTCGACCAGCGCCGCCCTTTCGCATACGTGTGTACGTGTTCACTCATTTAACACCCCCTCCTACAACCACGTTAACCAATTTAGCCATCGACCCAAGTAAGTCGCAATTTAACACCCCATTTCACAACCACGTTAACCAATTTAGCCATCGACCCAAGTAAGTCGCACTTTAACACCCCGTTAACCAATTATATGGTCCGCATCCTCCTCAGTGTTCCCCCGAGGGAAGCTGCGGGCAATTTTTTTGTCCACCATTAAGCTTTGCCTTTTTTTTTTCTTTCACAGAAGGGACCACGCTCGCAGTCAATGTAGGATCGAAAGGGTCGATACTTAAGCAATCTTCGATAAACCGCACTCGTGCGCACCGGGGCGCCGATGATTGAAGGAAACGGCGCACCCAGGCGCTAGGTGCGATTTTAGGGCGAAAGCTTCACATACTAAGAACTTTGATTATGAAGCTTATCAGAGCCTCTGACCGCGGTGCACGCCGTGCAGCAGTAGACAGGTGACGCGCGCGATAAACATGGCACACGCCACCGCCACCGATAATTTCAAGTTCCGGCTTTAACTATAGGAAACGCGAACAAGTACGTCATAGATGTAAATCGCAAATTGATACCGACCACAATCAGGTCTTTCTTGCCGTTGGTCTCCGCCATTGCCGGAGCTAACTCGGAGGCCTTTTGATGTACACCGGGAAAGCTGACACGCATGTATCCCCATAAGCAGTACATACAAACGGATAACAACCATCAAGAGAACATCACAGCATGCGTAATAAAACAGTACAATGCATCGAAAGCGAAGATCGATAGAGAATACAACTGCAAAGGCGTAAATCGCTAGGGCTACTCGTGCCGGATAAAGCGAGCTCCGTACCACTGTCGTAAGATAGATTGCGCGTGTAAATGTACCTCATCGCTTTGGCATCTTGTATATGCCCAAATTAAACGCATTTAGGCGTTACACAACGCACGTCGGAGTGCGGTGTCTTGGACTCGATGACATGCGATGCTCGCTTGCACTTCAACTGCCAGTTGCAGTACACCCAAATAAACGACATATTTCGCATTGTACCCGCAGTTCGTTTTGATGAGCTTCCTAATTCTCTGAAGCGAGGTTGGATTGAAGGAAGAAGCTTGTCAGGTCCTTGATATTCGGGAAACCGCGCCTCAGGCACAACGGAAAAGCGGGGCCTACGCACTTTCGCTTACGAGCGGCTCTCCTTGCACTACCCATTTATGGCCAGCGCGTCGATGGGGGCGCTGGTGGCGGCGTTTTTCGCAGCGCCACTTGGGAATAGTCCGAGTGGGCGTGCAGCTTCGCTAGCCGCGGGCTCTCCCTCTCATAGGGCGAGGCGCCACGCCAGTAATATCCGCGCTGTAATGGGGCCTTTACCTCCGCCATGAACCATTGCGTGCGACAGCTCACGCACCATTCGAGTTTCAAATCCCACCTCATGGGTTCATCGCCGACTTACGCATACGGCAACGCACTTCATGGGCACGTGTGAGAACGCAGCGACGAGCTAAAATGTGGCGAACACGGACCTGCTGAAGGAACACATTCAGCAGTGCAATGGACCCGGGCACCATTTATCGTTAGCTGCTGCAAACATACAGAGTGGACCGCTTGGGGGCACCATTCAAAGCCGTTGGAGGCCACGCAGCAGAACGTTCGAGTTAACCATGCTGATGGCTGTAAGCATGGCAACCAATACACATTTTTCGACGGTACTAGACAATTTCTTTATTTAGCACAGAAGACTACTAAATGCGACAAACAACAAAAGGCTTTGCTTACTACCGTTTTTATTACACTTATATACAGATAAAAATATATGCATCCTAGCGAAAAAAAAAAACTGACTTCAATTCCTAAATCAAGTAAAACAATATGCAAAGAAAGTAAACAAAGCAAGTCTCAAGGAATCGTAAAACATCAACTATTCAAGCGGCAATTATGAGAGGAAAGAACTTAAGTTGCCGCAATTAATGCAATTAATGAGAAGAAAAAAAAGTGATGACCTGCAAAAATATATGTACACTAGCTATACAATATATCCATATAAATTTCAATTCACTCACTGCATCATGACCAAGGAAACGGGGCATTATTTTCATCACACAAACACGGGCTAGACAGTCACCGTTACGTAGCCACTCAAAAATGACTTCAGTCTCCTAAAAAAAAACTACACTTGCTTCCAAAGCATATGTCTGTCCGCTCATGAAAAAAAGCGTAAAACTACCAAACACCTGTGCAGCTGCACAACGAGCATTCTGAAAGCTTCCCATTTCGAAACTAAGAAGTTTCAGCATTTAGAAAAATGTGAAGAAAGAATGAAACACTAACTGCATCTACTGGCAGTACAGTTACGACAAATAGGTGTCTGCTTCACACTGCAAATGTAAATGCACACAAAACCCTACAACTTAGCTCATGTTCCAGTCATCACTTTTTAAGCCATGCCAAATCAACCACACTTTTTTTTTTTTGGCTGTTCTCACCGATTAGCAACAGAGTTCAACTAGTCAAACGACACTACAATGTGAGAGCAACTTACGATTAACATGAACTTTGCCAAAGCTTCAGTTGCTGTGTAAGGGACAAGGACTATTACACTGTTAAGCCGGCGCACAGGCTGGAGTTGGTGCTCGCTTCTGCAAGTTATCTGTAGTGGTTCCAGGTGACATATCGACAAGTCACACTACACTCTAAGAAAATATGGAGTATTTGGGGAGTAGTTCTGCTAAACAACAATAACCGTCATCTGACATGCTCGTGTTTCCTTTCGCGAAAACCTGGTGCACACCACTTTCTTGTCGGGAATGCTATGTCACCGATTACGAGTGTGTCGCTTGCGACCGCACACTACCAGAACTGTGGTGATAACGTGAAGAAAGTACTCGAAGCAGTCGACGATTATTGCTGTGTAGCAGAAACACTCCCCAAATACTCAGTTTTTTTTTAAGAGTGTACATACACGCATTGGAAGAGAAGATAACCTTAGCATCGGATTCACCGTGTTAAAGTTGGCTACTTTCAATATAAAAAAATTGGTTTGTTGCTTGAGCCTACATGTAAATGAAGTTTTCTTGTTTTGCGATACCCTTTTTAAACAGAGCTGCAAGATGATCTGCCTATGCAAAGAGAATGACTGTTGAGGTCATCTACACTGGCAATGCATGTATGCAGTAACAATATGCCATTATGTATGTAGCCCAGCTGTTCCTAAGCAAATGTAGTTGAAAATTTGCATTTGACCCATACTCTCGTGTTCCCTTCAACAATGAGAAGCCGCTGCACATGCAAGCAAGCTATGCAAGACTGCTTGGATCGACGTCTGGAAAAGCAGATACCGATTGGCAGCAATATTTTTTTACAGTGTGCTCGGAAGGCATCCCACTAAGCGGCAGCATAAGCAGATTGAGTAGCTGTCAAAGTACGAGTGGCTAACAGCGACCCTTCATTTCTATGTTAGCTAGATGACAGTGTTTAAAGGCAGAGCCTGTGCAGGCAAATGCGAATACTACAAGCTACATTGTTGCCAACTTTTCAATACAGTGAAGTGCCCATGGGATACTATATTGGTGATTATTTTTTTTTTTTGTGCAAGGCAATGTTTCCAGGACTTCAGTGTAATTTTTAGTTTGCTTATTGACAACATCACTATGTTAATAACAAAAGATTCATTAAGGATGAAACTTGCCCATGCTTAGGATCCATAATTCAGACCCTCCAGCATTCACTTATGTTTGCATTAATAATGATAAGAGAGGGTTTACAGAAGGTTTAAAAATGGGACCAATCATCTCAGAGAGCCCGGGATCTCATGCCGCTCAGCAAACTACACAGCGAGAAAGAACACAATTTAAGAACTAGAGAAAATTAAAACTAATTGGGAATATGCATGCCCCAGTACTGAATTACCAAAACAATGTTAGTGGCGAGATAGAGCCTGCTTTTGTTTAAACCACAGTGTCGCATCTTGCAACAGTAACACAATTGCTTGTCATGCTGTGTGATGGTGTGAATGGCACCCCAACTTTGTCTACATTAAGCACATTGGGAAGAAAAAACTTTTTGAAGATTTCGTGACAAGATCATTCAGATGTACCTGCATGTAAAGACAGTTTTAAAAAATTAGAAGTGCTTGCAGTAACTTAAAACTCAAATAGAAGCAACTTTACAAAGGCAAACTATTTAGTACAGACAAAAAGTGCAAGAGAGCTTTGAAATATGCTGGAAGCACTTTAACTTCAGAGAGTTCAATGCCAAAATTCACTAAGACGTCTAAGCTCAATGGCTCTTCAGCTGTTCCAATACTTACATCTTCCAAGGTACGAAATTTGCATATCTTTTATTATACACCACCGAGAAAGGTCCTGAAAAAAATTAGCGCCACATCTGTTCGAGCCAGCACAACAATAAAACAAGCCTTGCAGTAAAACTCTGTATTTGTTGACAAAGTATGTACACACGGACATGCCACACAAAGGATGAGCCCACCGGAGAGTTCTGATTTACTACTGCCTTCATCTACTGCATTCGCTTATAGTTAAGCTTTTCCAGAAGAGTGTGAACGCGCTTGCGCTGCGTATGTGGAGTGTACAAGATTTAGCATGTGTTTCAGCGTTCACTTGAAGACTATGACATGCGGCCTATCCATGCTTCTTGCTTTTCACTTAAGCAACACAACGAAATTTACAGTCGTGAAACTTAAAGTAGACAGTTCGAGCAGCCACGACCTCTACAATAGAACCTTACAAGCGTCTAATATGCCAGAATCATGGTTTTACAAGAAATCATATCCAAAACACATGATTGTATGGAACTATTTGATGCATAAGCCATGCGACAGAGTAAGGGTTACATTTTTTTTTCTTTAAATGCCAGTATCAGGTTTCATATCTTTTAGAGCAGTCTCCAAAAGAAAAATTGAAATTTAGCTCTGTTTCAAAACCAAGTACGAAGTTCCGCGTCTTCCGGTAATGTATCCGGCTAAAAGTAGGAGGTTTTCACATTGAATCTCACAACTACATCCCTACGGCAGAAGTCCCCTCTGTGTTCAACGTGCCTCTTTGTTGTTTCACCCTTTCACGAAAAAAAGACAATGAAATGCATCGGGAAAATTCCATGAAGATGTACTTTTAAAGCGTACATTATGACAATGCCTGTACAACAAGTGCTGAACAGTGCATGGGTGTGAGCAAGAACGCTATCGCGTTAATTTTACACCTGGCTCTTTCAGAACGCCACAAGAGAAGTTGGGCAACATTGCAAACATGCACACGCACAGGTACACGCACACCGGAAAAAAAAAAAAGATGCCAACCAATCAAAACAACTTAATTAAAATGAAGACATGCCCTTAGAGGACCCAGGTCAACTGCATTCACAGGACAAGGCCCTTCACAAATCATCTGCACTTCAGCGCCATTGTTACAGCTTCTTGGCAAAACCGCCCTGTCTCGCTACGCTCAAAATGTTCACCCTCCAAAGTTTCTCACAGACACTGCCGAAAAGCAACCCGCAGTGCAGTTTTTCACGCCTAACTGCTGGCACGTATGGCACTAGAATCCATCGTCACTTTCCATTGACTGGAGATGCATGTCATTCAGGTCTGCCACAGAGCTCCCGTGCGACGATTCTGGGTCTATGGGATTGGACTCGATGCTCCCAGAGTCGTCAACCGCTGGAAGAGCAAAATTTGATTACATACGCACTTGCACGATTCTGAGCACACTAGTGAAAGGAAGACGAAACACAATGTCTCTATAACCACCTGCACGGCATAGTTTAGAGAATGAAAGAAGGGTTTGCGAAACAAGCGAAAAGAAAGATGTGGAGAATGAAGGGCACATGGCCCACATGCCGAAGTAGCAGCCACACATTTACACCATAGAGTGCACATGCTTCGCCCGCTAACGAGCATGACAGGGAGCATACACAGAAGGAGTACAGTAAATATAGTGTTCTGTGTGCACCCTGCTCCTCGAAACTAGGAGGATAGATAAATTAAGGGAGCAGAAACAAATTACATGACAGTGCAAAATGTGATTGGTATTAGTTATTTTGGTCATCAAATGCTAGAGCACCTGTTAAGAGACTGCAATTCGATTGTAGGTGACTACAAAGGTGCATGTTTCACACGCTCTAATGTTTTATAAAGGTGAAGTAGGCACTCAGCGTAGCCCCATCACTCCTCCATGGGAGGACCTTTTTCTGCGCCCTCGACTCATCACTGCCCACAGTGCAACTGGAACAACTAAACCAATAACAGCCGTTGCAGTTCTATGCACCAAACCACGAAACGAATACGAGAGACACTACAAAGGAGGGCGCACTGTAGAGAAATTTCAAACATGTGGCGGTTCTTTATTATGCACCCAAGTCTAAGCATATGGCTCTAGCATTTCGCCTCCATCGAGACGCGGCCGCCGCGCCCAGACTTGACTTTCTCATCGTCAGGCAAGCAGTCGGGCACTATAAATGCTTCAACATCGCGGGAGATGAAACAGCTAGAGTGCAGAAGCTCTTCGGTCGTGAGACGTTAGGGAAAAACAACCAACTTGAAGGTCCAAAGACTGAAAAAAAAAAGAGAGAAAACTCCACTTACACAGTTGATGGACAGCGGCAATGTCTTCTTCGTCATGGCTGAAGCGCTTGTCGATGGACTCCTTGATCTGGTTGTTGGCACCCTTAGGGTCCAAATCCATGGCCCACGAGAAATTCATTAGGGCTAGGTGGGTGTTGCCCAACTTTTTGTGAACCTGCATACAAGATACAACCAGGACTTGAGACCGTTGACGAAAATTGCATCCGGTCTTTATTTTTTAAACGCCGTTGTGGTGTTTTAAATCTTCTTTTAATGATTATTTCTTGATCAACTTTGATCAAAATGCCAAGTTTATGTGCGTTTATGTGCTATTTCAAACATCAAATTATTTTTCTAATGAAATATGTAGTTTTTAGAATGTAGTTTTGCGAAACAAGCAAAAAAAAAGACTAAATGAGTTACGAAGTCATTCAAAACCATATTTACTCACGTAATTTTCGCACTCCTATGATTCTCACCCCCCCCCCCCCATTGCCCAACAAAAATATGATTTTTTTTCGCAAGTAATTATTGCGCATCCAAAAATTGCAGCCGAAATGTCTTCTGCTCCTTCCAACCACTGGTGATGACAGCGCACAGCAGCCTGGGGTCATCTCATATGCATTATTGCTTACTCTCAATGCATAGAGATGCAATTCAATTCCAGGCAAGCCAAAGCAGCAAGTGTGCATTGGGACATTAGGGTGCCTAGAATGGGGAGGTGTGAAAAGCGAGCCGCGTTTCCCTTGCCCGGAAGTGTCGCATTGCGCAGTCTCTCCAATAAGCCAAAACATAGCGTGACAGTTAAATTCACTGCCAGCTGACATGGGGAAGACCGTAGTGTAGGCCACTGCAACAGTCAGCGTTCCACATGGTTTTACAAGTGCTTTGTCTTAGTGTGCATTGAGAGGAATGGCGTCTGCGAAATTAAGAAAAATCAGGGACCGTGATTCGTGTGAGGCACTGCCACCAGGGGTATGGAATATGCAGGGGCAGAAGTGTCACTTTCCCGTGCGCCGGCAGACTGATAGATTGCAGTTTGGAAGCTTGCCACGCCCATGGCCGATAAAGCTATAATATTTCTTTATTGTGGGGCTAAGAAGAAAAAAAAGTACCGTATTTACTCGCATAATCGGCGCACTCGCATAATAGGCGCACCCCTAGTTTGGTCGCGGAAAATTCGATTTTTTTTTAATTCCGCGCATAATAGGCGCACCCCGAACTTGGCCGTGATCAGAAACGATTCTACCCCCCAGCGGTACAGTTGGAACGCGGTCCCCGTACCCTGAAGAAAAAAAGAATAAAAAAAATTCGAAGTTCAACGACCTAACCAACGTGTTTGTCGAAATGAAACTTGAAAAAAAAAAAAAAAGCGTCCATGAGCGAACAAAAAAACGGCTGTTCCATCAATTACTGATACCCCCCAAATCGCCGCGCTTTTTGGAGGTCACGTGTACAACGCCGGGAGCTCGATCGCCATCACCACCATCAGAGAAAAAGAAAGAAACGCTATTTTGCAAGAGGTGTGCGTATGTTGTGGTCGTGTATTGAACTTTGGTTCCACCATGGGGAAGTACGCGAGCTACACAGCTGGGTTTAAACTGAAGGCAGTGCAGTACGCGCTGGAGCACGGCAACCGGGCAGCAAGCAGGAATTTCGGCGTTGGAGAAACCAGTATTCCGTACTGGAGGGACCAAGAAGAAAAACTTAAGGCGATGAAGAAGACACGACGGGCTTTCCGCGGTGCCAAGACCGGCAGGTATCCGAACGTCGAAGAGCAACTGGTCCGGCATATACGGGAGCTACGACAAGACGGCTGTGCTGTGTCGTTGGATATTGTGCAGACTGAGGCGCGCAGAATAGCCCGAGCACAGGGCATCGAAGCAAAAGAGTTCAAAGCCAGCTCCGGATGGACAACTCGTTTCATGCGGCGCCATGGCCTCGCACTGCGAAGGCGGACCACCTTGTGCCAGCGCTTGCCCGCAGCATATGAGGACAAAGTGGTGGACTTCCACAGTTTTGTTATTAAGCTCCGACAGCAGAAAGACTTCATTTTGTCCCAGATCGGCAACGCTGATCAGACCCCCCTTTGCTTTGATATGCCGTGGAACACGACAGTGGAGGAGAAAGGTGCACGGAGCGTCATCGTCAGAACGTCTGGCGCTGATAAACAACGATGCACCGTAATGCTGGCGGTGACAGCGGATGGGCGTAAGCTACCGCCTTACGTTATTTTTAAACGTAAGACGCTCCCAAAGGCAAAATTCCCTCAAGGCATCTACGTCAGAGTCCAGGAAAAAGGCTGGATGAGCGCGGAACTCATGGTGCATTGGGTGAGAACAGTCTGGGGTCGGCGGCCGGGTGGTCTGTTGTTGCCGTCCATGCTTGTCCTGGACAGTTTTCGTGGGCACCTAGTAGACCGCGTACGAGATGAGCTAAAGGAGCTGCGCACAGATCTGGCAGTGATTCTGGGCAGCCTCAAATCGATACTGCAGCCTTTGGACGTGTCCTTGAATAAACCTTTCAAGGACAATGTTCGAAGGCTGTACACCACCTGGATGGCTGGAGGACAACATCAGCTGACTACAGGTGGTAAGATTAAGAGGCCGCCTGTGGAAATGCTGTGCGCTTGGATCGTGGAAGCGTGGCAGGCGATCTCCGACGAAGTCGTCAGGAAAAGCTTCAAGAAGACGGGTATCTCGAACGCACTGGATGCGAGTGAGGATGACATGTTGTGGGGTGCGGATGATTCGGACACCGAAAACGAATCCCCGCTCAGCGAGGATGAATGTGTGATCTCCGACTCGGACTCTGAATAGGGAAAAGGAGGAACAGCTACAACTTTTGTGTAAATAAATTTTACGTGTGTGTGTGCAGTTGACGGCTCTCGCTCGTTCATTAAAAGGTACGTAGGTATGTTTGTTTTATGCTGAATTAATTGGTAAACGATAAAGTCGCCTTTTACTTGACAAGTGTGCAGATTTAAAGCGCGAGAACTGAGTTGAAAAAATTTTCGAAAATTTTACCCCGCGTAATTGGCGCACCCCTAACTTCGAGCCGGATTTTCTGAAAAAAAAGTGCGCCTATTATGCGAGTAAATACGGTATATGGAAATAGCCCGACTCATACCATCAGTAAAACGGGGATAAAGCTATGCAAGAAAATTCGACCACCCAAGAAAAACAAACATTTTGGCTCAAGTTAAATGTATAGAAGCCAAACAAGTGCTACAAAAGTCTTATGTGAATTTGTGACAAACACCAGCAGCTAAATTACTAAACAATTTGCAGAGCTCTTAAAGAACTGAACGATTGCTTTGCTAAGTGCATTCACCTAAACGTTCTATTTTCTTTTTCGGTTTTACTGCATTATATTTTCATAGAGTATACAAAGAAACACAGTGATGCTCACCTTGCGTAGAGACATAACAAATATCAAAAATGCATGCATCAAGCCCCTATAAAGCATTGCAAAACAGCTGCAAAGTTAGATAACTATAAAAGTGGATATTTAAGGCCTGCTGTACCTAAAGTTTGAAGACCAAGGCATCTACAAGCTAGAAGAGGCTGTGTATTTCAACAAGATGCTTATGAATTGCCTCTTCACTACCATTAGCGGATCCTCATCCGTAAGTAAACAGAGCAAGGAGCATGTCAGAGTGCTGTTTGGTGCCAATGTAAGCTTCCCTTCTTGATGCTGGAGAAGGCAGATAAGCCATTGCACTTTTACAAAATGCAGCATTTCCCAAGGAATGCATCTACACAAACTACAAGCTAGCATGGATGACTGCTGCTATTATTGAGGACTATGTGTACCTTATGAATAGACTGTTCGAAGCAAAGAACCAGCAAGTGCTTTCGATAAATATAAATTGTCCTAGCCAAGAGAACAGAGGCATTGAATGGGTTACTCGAAGGTCGCAGGTTCAGATCCTGCTGGTGGCAAGTTATCTTTTCATCCACTTTTATTTCTTCACATTTACATAACAATTACTTCTAACAAAATCCTCTATACGTACTTTCCCAGGCATGATTGTCTATTAGTTCTTATTAACAAGGCGATCACTTTGGAATTTTTGGCTGCACACAACTGCGGTACTGCAACTGACGGATCAAGGCACCATTAAAGACCATTCAGAAGCTGGACTCTTTTGCAGTGCATGTTCACAGCGTGCCGGCTCTTGGTGCACCGTTAACAGAGACACTGACGATGACCGGATTAGCGGCGATCTGCGTGAGGCTGTTCATTAAATTGCTGGACAAGATGTAGAAAAAGACTTTCCAGACGTTTGCGTTGGCTGACATCGCTCCCATGAACGTGGAGATTATTGACACTGTGTAGTGGCCTCAACAAGAACGGGGAGACGTGAAGTGAAATGCAGATGTAGGAGTGCCTATGCTTGCTGCGAAATAAAGCTGAACGCATAGACAGCAACCACGGCCTTGTGCAATGCCTGGACAAATCGGAGCAGGGGCTGCTCGCACCCAACCAGAACCTGAAACAGTGAAAGTTCAGTGCCTTTTTTGCAATTTAATAAAGTTCTGCTTCAATAATTACATTGTGCTTCGACTTTCTTGGCGGTTTGGTGGAATGAAAGCTCGACTGCTCTGGCTTTTCTTGAGTGGTCACTTCTACCGTTAATGATGAATTTTTATCACTGTACCGCTGCCTTCATTATAACGGGCGATTACAGCACAGTTAAGCATTGATAATACGAATTCGAGAAGAACCACAGGATTCGTTGATATAAGTAAGTGCAAGCTCCAGAAAGCCTTTCTAGAATTTATCCCCTCATGGCCTGTGCAGTACAATGCGCTCCTGCATGCACTAATTGAACCATCATCGCACATGCCAGAAAGTGAGGCAGTCTACAGGCGAGTGCACCGCAAGAGATAGGGTGGCAAGCACATGTGTGAAAGGAGGGCTGGGCTAAGTCCACAAGTGTTGAAGATTGGGAGAGTTCGTTCATCGTCTTGACGTAGTATGGTGCATTACGGTAAAGAAGAAATGGCCGCGCATGACAGACCGACACATCTTTTGTGTCGGTCTGCTCGGCCATTTATTGTTTACCGTAATGCGCTATACCAGTTCAAGGTTTGGATAAAATTTCTGATCAACTTTAAAGCAGTGAGTTAAAGCAGTTAAGGCAGTGAGGGAGATATTTTCTCTACACAGTGACAGAATTTCGAAGTAGCCACTGACAAGCTGTGAAAAACAAAATAAAACAAAAAAATCTCGAAACAGATTGTCTTCAGCTTCGTAAAAGGACGCATTCATAGGACAATAGTTTTACCTTTCCACTGAGGAAGTACACTAGTGACTCCTTGGGCACAAGCTGCTTCAGCTCATCTAGCTCTTTGAGTGCCTCCTGGTAGCGATCCACCGAGAAAAAGATGGTAGCTCGCTGAAACTTGCACAATGCGTTTTTGGGTTCCATAGAAATGGCCCTGTTTAGAGTTAAAATGGACTCGTCTGTCCTCTTCAGGGAGTGCTGTACCTGTGTGTGAAATGAAGCAAAACAACAAACATGTACAATACTCTTGTTTAAATGTAGATATACATTAGCATCAGCAACCTATTACTGCATCTAATCTGCCTCGTTAACCAATAATACCAAGGAAAGTGTGGAAGCATCCCCAGAAACCTTCATAAATGCCTGCACTGAGCAAGTAGCTGCACAGCAGCCCTAAGTGAAGAAGCTCCAAAGCAACGCTCCACCAAACTTGTATCAAAATATTTGTGCACCGACAAGGCCTTACACTAATAGACTAGGCGTAACCATAAAACGAAGCATTCTAATGCACATCAATGACATCATACAATTGTTGCCTGCAGTTAGTAATCAGTGTGCAGATCATATGCACAACACGGCACTTCATCATTCAAAAACACTTAAAATAGTGTGCTGAAAAAAATCTTACGTGTCAGCATATATTTAACATATAAATGATTGAATGGTCCCACATCAACCAGCATTATTCCACAAATATAGAGCACGCACAATAAGTTTTTCTTTTTTTTAGACTCGAAAGAGTTATTTGAAAAACTGCCATGACAGAGCATAACTCTAATTTCAAGCTGGATTACACAGAGGCAATAATACGTAATATATAATAATTGTTGGGCTTTAACGTCTCGAACCCCCCCACATAATTATGAGACGCCGGAGTGGAGGGAAACGGAAATTTCGACCCCCTGGGTTTCTTTAACGTGCACTTAAATCTAAGCAGATGGCCCTCAAGCATTTTCACTTCCATCGAAAATGTGGCCACCAAGGCCAGGATTCGATCCCGCGACCTGCGGGTCAGCAGCCGAGCGCCTTAGCCACTAGACCAACGTGGCAGGTGGATCACTCAGAGGCAGACACTAATTGAACAATAAATTGAGATGCATGATCAACCAGTTCAAAATAAACCAATAATGAAGCTCTGTTATTAACTAGCATATATGGCGATTGACTATACGCAGCTGCAGAGCTCCCAAGGGCTGTACACAAATAAAATTTTGGAAAATAACACTAGTTTTAAGACTAAGCATTTCTTATAAAGAAAGTTTAATTATGCCCAAACTTTGCACGTTGTTCGACCTTTTCAACTAAATGCCATTTTATAGAACACAAACAGCTATATATCCATCCTCCACTATAGGAATAAATTTGTTGAAACTGGTGTCATACCTACAGATTTTTCCTTCACACCTTGGCAATATACTAGCTACAAGTCAGTAATTGCAATTTGCTGAAATCATAAGTAGTAACTGTTAGATCTCTCTTTGGAGCAGTCTAAATCAAGAACTAGAACTGTGCTATCTACCAGCAGTTCATTTTTTTTTTAATGTACAATCTAAACAAGTTTCACTGGTATAACTTCCCAGACAGACACGTCCAGCACCAACACAAATACACACAATGACATGTGCTGAAACTTACCACAGCAATGTGACAAAGAAGCACAGAGCTCTGTGGGTTGATTTGGAGGGCTCGCTTGAAGTGCGCTTCTGCCATACTAAAATTTTCCTGCTTGTAGTAGATCATACCTGCCCCATACCTGGTCGAGCACACAAATACAAAATAAAAGTCAAGTACAAGGGCGATTCGCACCCACACATACACACACACACATGCACACATCTGCAAATTATTACAGGGTGCTGACAAAGCTTTACCATTTCCTTCACACTGAATGATGTAATAAAATTTTCTTAACACCTACACAGAACATCAGCATTTTGCTCGCGATGGCATCATAGAGTAAAGCAGCTTTCCTCTCAGACTCCGCTCACCTTTCCAAATTTTACTGGGATGATAAACAAATGCTGCCATCGACAGATTCTTGATCAGCTATTGATACACCCCTACCTGCCCTACACAGCGAATTTACAACAGCAACCAATGGTGTAGAAGCTGTAGAAGTGGCCATAAAACCTGCGACTGAGTGGATAACAAGTGCTACAACAAGCTTCCAAATTCACCCGCGTGCCCTAGAACCTTAAAAGTTTATGTGCTAACTGAAGCTAACAGAATATGCACAAAACAGAAACAGTAAGGTTTTTCCTCATCTGCCCTTTGTGGTATAGGTGAAGTGTAATTCAGAATGGTTAGTGCAGCAGGCAAACACAGATTATGCCTTGATGATTCAAGTACGACAACACTTTGAAATGAACATTACTTATGCAATAATAATGAAAGGACGTTTGTACAAGTACTCTAAGCTGCTGGTCAAAGAAAAAAAAAAGGTAATAATAATTATTCCACTGAAAACTTGTCATCAGCTACAATGATTTACTGAAAGGGGAACATACGAATTGTGGGCAATACCGTATTTACCCGCATAATAGGTGCACTTTTTTTGAGAAAATCCGATTTCAAGTGCAGGTTGCGCCTACTACACGGGTTAAAATTTCAAAAAATATTATTTCTAACCACAGCACAGATCACTGATAATTTAAGCAATGGAAGTCACAAATATCCGCACTACAGCCGAAACAACCTTCGTCAGCGCAAAACGTGTTCACCATGCAGTGTCGCATGTCTGACAATTGAGGCATGAGATGCGATAGACTCAACTCTTTAATTACCATGCCTATTCAAATCAATCACCGGTGATCGATGCTTTGAATCGCTGTTTTTGACATGTTGAACTTGTTTTACATGCACCCAATACTTCCTAGTAGTTACCTCAGTCACTGACCTTCCAGAATCGGTTTGAACATGCCCGATTTGGCAACACAGTAATTTTTGACAGATCTTAAATGTATATTAAAGCATCGTTCATCAACCAATGTTTCTGTGTAGTTGTAAAAATGGGCTTGGCTGATAAATTTGAGAGAAATACATGCCGCTACTGATTACACTGCAGCAACATTAAAAATCTGTAATCAAAAGAACCTTAGCAAGTGAAATATCAAATTATGGCATCAGCTTCACAATCTGACAGTGTTGAGTCGTGACAGTTGTCTAAATATTTATGCCAGCTATTCACTAAAGAGCCGTTGTTTGGAATCGGAAAGAAATTTATTCTAAAAACATTTTTTTACGGTGCTCCGCCACATATATAACGTGTTGGGGTGGTCTTTTAAGGTAGTTTCCAGCTGCTTTGGTTTCCCTTCTGTTGTTACATCTGACACAGGGTCGTATCCAGTGACACTAGTGGCTCCTATGCACAATATGCACATTATCACGACCGAAATTTTGTGCGCTGAATGGTACCGATTGTTTAATTTCATGGGCTCACACCGCAATCTAATCGCGAACCACCATTGGAGTGTTACAAGCACCACCCATGCTCCCTTTCCTTCAAGTAGAGCCACTGCAAAGAATTACATTGACTTCGTATAAAAACGCAATTTCATTGCCCATGACTGCCACCGAAAAGCAACAAGCAATGATTAGACCTAGCCTACGGTTCAGGATGTTGTCGCAAGAAGTTTGTAAAAGACAACATGAGGAGTGCGCGTCCGAAAAATCTCACTCAAACACCGATCCAAGAGCAGCGCACGCGATACCATGTTTAGGTTTACGGCCGGGAAATCAACGGCGACAAAGTCCGCCAATCTTGAACAAGTTCGCGGAGTAACAGCAAACGCGGAAAGTGGTAGAGAGCCGAAAAGCTTATAAATTTGCGGACAAGGTAAAAAACGCAATGATGACGACGCTTTTTCCGACAGGAAACTCAAAGCGCACTTGATGCGGACACGATCGCACGTTTATGCAGAGCGCGTGCTGCCGGCAAATGGCCGGGGCCACACTGGCGCCAGTGCAAGGAGCAACAGCCCTCCTCCCTCAATCAACAAACCAGCGCAGTGCTGCAGTGGCTTTTTTTTTCTTTTCTTTTTTTTCTAGCTCCAAATAATGTAAGAGCATGTCACATTGCAACCATGCAAGTACGGTAACTATAGATCACGGCCAAGTTCGGGGTGCGACTACCGTAAAAATCCGTGTATAGGTCGAACTCGTATATAGTCCGAGGTGCACAACGAGCTCTCATCTGAAACTCCCTTGTCAGACATGACCTCCCATAGTGCCTCGTCTACGCTGCCATCGTTGGGGTGCTTGAGGTAGAGCACTTTTTGAAGGAACGACAAACGAGCTCCTTGGGAATGCAGGCCCAAGCCTCGGTGATTCACAAGTACAGCATCATGACGAGGCCAGCATTCGTCATCCGGCAGGGGTCCCTTCCGGCTCTCCAGACCTCATGCACTCGGTAACAGGTGCTTGATGTGATCCTTAACGCTTTCACTACCACGTCTATTCAATTTGTTCAATTTGAACGGTGCATTTTCAAGTTTCAATTCTCAGTACGCTCGCAAAGTTTGCAGGAACCTAATGCCATATAGGTAAGCAAGTGGGCAACGCACAACGTGATTCGTGATGCTTTGGTTGTTCTTTGTTCTTCCGTCCCCGCAAGAAGCTTCAGGTAGCTGCGTGTGCATGACGATCATGGCGTTGTTTCCCCGTGCGGGTGGTCCTATAAGACAACACGTTTCTATCGAATCGAATGCATCAACAGCAGATTTCTAGAATCAGCAGCAGTGAGTCCAGAGAATATGTTGAGATCAAATTTAAGCCCCGATGGCGCGAAATGCGTCAAGTCAAGCCGCAACATCCAGCGAGCGAGTGCCGGCTGTATGAGATCTGTTAGAAAAGTACCTGACCTTCGGTGGAACAAAAATAAAACTGGCATAATTAGACTGTTTATCCCCCTCCACACACTTCTCCTAGCAGTGCTGCAATTGTTGGAAGCATTCGGAGAATGCCTCTTTCGAAATGGAGTTTAGCTCAGCTTTCGTTGCAGCCATAATGTTTTCCTCAGTCTGAAATCGCTCTCCTTTCAATGTCCTCTTGAGTTTGGGAAGCAGCCAGTAGTCCCAGGGGGCCATATCAAGAGAGTAAGGAGCCTGTTGAACTACAGAAATAAAACTTTTCTCCGAAAAAAGTATTAACCAAGTGTGAGGAATGTGCACGAGCATTGTTGTGATGGATGCGCCAGTTTCTTGTTGACCACAACTCGGGTCTTTTGCGCCGCACAGCATCGTGTAGGCAACGGAGGACATGATTACTTGACCCTGTGGTGCGTACTTGTGGTGTACCACACCGCAGAAATCAAAGAAAGCAATCAGCATCACTTTGACGTTGCTGCGCACTTGGCGGGCCTTCTTTTGTCTTGGCGACGTGGAATGCTTTCACTGTGACGACTGGGATTTTCTTTACCGGGTCATACCTGTACACCCAAGACTCGTCACCAGTGATTAATGGTGTTAAGGGGGGACGTGGCAAGTAAAACTAATTTTTTTATTAATGTACTGCTTGTGATGAAATTTGGTGTGTGTATGTGGATGATTGTGAGGATTCCAAATATGAAAACCGTTTTCAAATACCTCTTGCACTTTTTGAGTTACAAGCATAATTGTACTAATTAATGCTGTTCACAATTAAAGAGATAACTATTGCTAAATGAAATTATTTTTTTATATTATTATGTTCCCAAGGCATCAACTTGTGCAAAGAAGCTATTAGTTGATTTTTCTAGTTCTTGTAACCATAAATAAATTTCCAAAACATGGATGTTTTGCGCACACATCGCAGCAATTTTAAAATGTGTTCTAAAAATTTCAAATTATGAGTAAGAAAAGAGATAAAGCTTTATTGCACTGCTAAAGGCCTTCTGAGCCTAGTGCAAAAAACGGAACGACTCTATCAGTCTTTGTTAGAAAATGACAGATGTTCTAGCGAAGGCACATAGGCGAAAATCAAGAGTTGAGAAAACTGACTTTGAAAGTTCACTCTTGTTTGGAAGTTCACAACATGCCTAAAACACTCAGAATCCTCCTGGGCAGTAATCCTGAAATGCCTGTGGCCTTGGCCTCTGTAGAGCGCAACCCAGTTTTGCGCTTCTTTGTCGTGGAACAATGCGCCTTTTGAGCCCTCTTTACCCTTTTGGCATCCTTTTTGGCTGCTCGCCGCAAAGAGCAGTCTCTTGGATTGAAGCCCAGTTAAGCAGTGCTCTCTTGCAGCGCACTCTTGCAGCCACCAATGAAACGGCAGACAGCATCTGCAACTGCACTTTCCACACTCCGAAGGGAGGCGAACTGGCTCTTGGACTGGAGTGACCAAATGACGCTGTTCATACTCTCCCCAGCGTTCTGGGTTTTTCCCTGCGCACACCTTTCAAGGAGCTCTTTGTTCGAGAGGCGCTTGTAGATTGGCAGCAGTGCCACTCACACGTGAGGGGGCAGTTTATGTTTGTGAGGCGGCAGCGGCTCTCCCTTGGCCAATGCCTGATTGTGCGGGCACCAGGAGTCGGTCCCACTTGGGCACAGGTCGTGGTGTGGATCCTGGTCTGTGGATGTTACATGGTAATAAGTGGCCATGATGGCCCTCTCCATGCCAGGAACATCGTTGGGGTAGCTCTTAATGGCCCAGCCATAATAATTCGTTAACTTCTTTATCAGGCCCTGTGTCAGCCGGCCTTTGCCACCCATGCTCAGTCCTCGGCCTTTGGATTTGTGCTCATCAAGAAGGTTGCGCAAGGAAGTGTCCATTCTTTTT